TATGATAGGATTTGGGGCTTCTTAAGCAGAAAATGGACGATTATATTTAATGTGCATGGAGTCTCCTATGTCAGGGGACTAAATTCATGGACAGGAACCTGGAACCAAAACACATCAAAAAAGAATTTCGTAAACTCCCCTAAGTTTTATAGTAGCCATGTAATATTGTTGCAGTGGCGGATCCAGGATTTTCCCAAGGGAGATGGCTGGATGTGTTGAAGTCCAAGATATCTCAAGGGGAGGGAGAGGGGCTGGGGCGCTCCATTAGGCGTTTGCAGCCTACACATAAAAATACCGACAACCCGAAGCAATGAGCGAATATTTGCTATATCAGGGCGACTGGGGAAATTCAGACTTTGTTTTAAAAATACACGACTTTGTGTTTAAATTATAAAGAATATAACAGTTGCGAGAGGGGTGGTTTATTTATCACACCAACCACCCTCCTGGAATCGTCTTTATGCAGGTTAATAGAATTAAGTTAAGTCCGTGGCTTTTTTAGGTGGGAAAGTGTATTAAAGCAAACCTTACGGGATCGTTGCAGATTCTCCAGGAGGACTTTGTCCATATGGCTACACCAGATACGACCCAAACTTTCCGATTCCAGGATGCGGAGGCGAATGTGAGAGGGACCAAGACTGCAGCGATGGGAAGATATGCTGCTTCGGATCGTCTCAATCAAAATTCCAGTGCTCTTCATGCGAGCAGCCTAAATACGGTACAAGTACAGGTAATGTAATAATACGCCTTATTATGAAGAGAAGCAACCCCTTTATAACAACTTGATAACAAAACGTCTCATAGTCCAGGCTCCTAGCTGCTGATTCGCGCAGCTATTGTTACCAACGATGCGATCAACCAAATACATTAGGTTGGTCGCAAATGGTCGATTATTCAACCTGCAATGATTTTAATACAGTTCGATCACAGTTAATCGAACTGTTCCTAAGCCAAATTGCAGGTCAATATTCCCTTTTTTGAAAACGTCTCTCAGAAAACGGAGCGAAGTAGAGCCTCCGACAGCATGCAAGGCAGCCAAATATGATAGTTCCCGTCATGTGATGTACGTGCATTTAGTACGAAAATTGTATGAGATCGATTGGATCATCCCCGCCCACACTGCACTGGTTCCCTTGAGGTTCTCTTGGAGCATCTCAGCTAACAATGCAATGATTGCGTGTAGGTTCTCTGGATCATCCCCGCCCACACTGCACTGGTTCCCTTGAGGCTCTCTTGGAGCATCTCAGCCAACAATGCAATGATTGCGTATCTCAGCCAACAATGCAATGATTGCGTATAGGTTCTCTTGGCGCATCCCAGCCCTTACTGTGCTAACTGCACAGGGATTCTCTAAAAGCATCCCATCCTACACTACACTGATTCCATGCATGTTCTCTTGGAGCATCCCTGCACATTGGTTCTCTTATAACATTCCATCCTACCCTGCACAGATTCCATGTAGGTTCTCTTGCAGCTCCTCAGCCCACAATGCAATGATTATTTAGGGGTTCTCTTAGAGCATCCCAGCTCACGACTGTACTGACTACATAGTGGTTTTCTTCGAGCATCCCGTCTTACACTGCACTGGTTCCCTAGAGGTTCTCTTTGAACATCTCAGCCAACAATGCAACAATTGCGTAGGGGTTCTCTTGGAGCATCCCAGCCCACACTGTGCTGACTGCACAGGGGTTCTCTAAGAGCATCTGATCCTTCACTGCACTGATTTCAAGCAGGTTCTCTTGCAGCTCCTCAGCCCACAATGCAATGATTGTTAAGTGGTTCTCTTAGAGCATCCTAGCCCACACTATACTGACTGCACATTGGTTCTGTTAGAGCATCCCATCCTACAGTGTACTGATTTCATGCAAGTTCTCTTAATGCTTCTCAGCCCACAATGCAATGATTGTTGAGGGGCTCTCTTAGCATGCCAGCCCACACTGTCTATTAGAGCACCCCATCTTACACTGCACTGAAGCCATGCAGATTCTTATGGAACATTCCAGCCAACACAACAACGACTGCATAGGGGTTCTCTTGGAGCATCTCAACCCACAATGCAATGAATGCATAGTGGTTTTCTTAGAGCATCCCGTCCTACACTGCACTGGTTCCGTAGAGGTTTGCTTGGAGCATCTCCTGATTCCATGCAGCTTCTCTTGCAACTCCTCAGCCCACAATGCAATGATTGTTTTGGGATTCTCTTAGAGCATCCTAGCCCACACTTTACTGACTGCACATTGATTCTATGAGAATTCCCGTCCTAAACTGCACTGGTTCCCTAGAGGTTCTCTTGGAGCATCTCAGCCAGCAATGCAATAATTGCGTAGGGGTTCTATTAGAACATCCCAGCTCACACTGTACTGACTGCACATTGGTTCCGTTAGAGCATCCCATCCTACGCTGCACTGATTCCATGCAGGTTCTCTTAATGCTCCTCAGCCCACAATTCAATTATTGTTTAGGGGTTCTCCTAGAGCATCCCAGCCTACTTTACTGCCCATTGGTTCTCTTTAGAGCATCCCATCCTACAGTGCACTGATTCTATGCAGGTTCTCTTGGAACATCCCAGCCCAATCTGCAACGACTACATAGGGGTTGTCTTTGATCATCCCAACACTTAATTCTCAGAGTAAAGTTGACTGAGCAGTTCAACGGCCTCAGTCACTTTTTGGGTCATGTGCACGGGTTCTCTGAAAGACGTTCTTAAAGAAGGAAATATTTATATGCATCGAACTTGCTCCTTGTTTATCCAAATTAACTCACTCTAAAAAGCGACCTTTACATCTGAAACGATTTATTTGCGAATGTTCAATATCACCGCCCTGGTTAAAGAAAACGCAGTAAAAACTTTTGATCGTTTTGATTTGCTTTCCTCAGGTAAGGGATGTGGTGGGTCCAATGATTACTTCTACGACGGAGAAATGTTCAGTCATTATCCTGGTCTGTACGAATACTCCGACTGTAACATATGGTAAGTAATTATTTTGAACCGAATTTGAACCTGTTTTGCAGAATTTTTTTCAGCCTTAGCAATTCACAGTTATGAGAAAGCAGCCATCGGCCATTAGAAATCAGTTTAGTTTATAAAAATGGATACTATACATTTTGAGAAAACAGAAAAAAGCATATGCACAATATTTTCGGTCTTGTAACTGGATTTCGTTACTTTTGCAAGTTTTAAAATGGTGTACCTATGGGCACAAATGTTACTTACGGGAGCAATTAATTAATTAATTACATCTGATTTAATAATTGTTTTCTTTCGAACGATACGACTTCAGGCAGAAGTCTTTCGGTCACTTAGACCAAATGTTTTTTCCTTAGTAATTATCAATGTCCCTAGGTGCTTTAATGCAAAAAGGGATGGTACCAAAAACCCCTGTGAAATTATTCTACCTGAAAAATGGTATCGTTCAGAAGAAAACAACAATTGGAGGTGGTATAACGTGCATTATAGCAACGGAGTCCATGCACTTACCAGACCAAAACAAATATGTGATTTTTTTTTCTATTTTCTCAAAATGTATAGTTTCTACTAAGTTGAACATTATTTTACTGCACACCTTTTATAATTCTAAGCAATTTTTCTTGAACCAAAACAAGGAAATGACACTACTCTCTAAATTCCAAAGAGTGAAAATTCACTCCTGACCATTTAAGTGAAGATTCACTCCCACAGTCAGAAACTAGGGACTAGACGTTTTAGAGTGACATTCCTTCAATCAAAACGACCGAGTTTTTACTCGAGCTTCGACTGAAGTGGTTCTTTTTTTCAGACATTTTCAATTTAAAATGAAAGTGATTTTCACTCTAAAACGTGTAGTCCCTAATTTCACTCTTTGGAATTTAGAGAGTACTTACTTTGAAACACCATTAGGTTAAACTTTTACAGGGCTAAACAAATATCCAGGTTGTCGGATTTGGATTATCAAAATAACATCGATGTGTTTTATCTGTCTACAGTCAGTGCATCAATGGAGAAGTCAAATGCTTTGCTACCTGTGGTAAGTTCTGCTTGATAAATTCCGTGCAACCGCAAAGTATATGCCTGTAGTGCATGCATGGTGGACATGCAATAACATTCGAGAGAAAACATGCAGCGCCCCCCCCCCCCCCTCCGAGCGTTGCCGGCATGCCGCAACATGCTAGTCTGGTTCCCGACGCCCTGACGTCTAAATGATAGATTCATAGTCAGAAACGTTTGGTCTGGAAACCAGACTAGCAACATGCGTGAACAATCGTTTCATAGAATAACTGGGATTCCCCCAAAATTGTTTTTTTTTTTGCTTGATGAAACGAATTGGGGTTTCATCAGCGCAATGTAGATTATGGGGTTCCACAATCAAATGTCAAAATTGTGAATATTTTTTCCTTGCAGACGAAGATGTATTTGCATTTAGGAATGGATCGTGCCTAGTATCACTGCAGCCGTCGCTCTGTCTGTCGTTCTGATTGTCTCTCTGATCGTGGTGAGCTATCAATATCAGATTTTCTTGTCAGGGGATATGCGATACATGACTGGCCTCTTTTAACGTATGTGAAAACAGATTTGGAGGTATCCTATACAGTTCTTGCGCGAAAGATTTCGGTCGAAGTTACTTAGTGACTCACTTACATGTGCTCGGTCGGTAGCATGGGCGTCGCCAGGATTTTTTCTAGGGGGCAAAAAAAAATGTGCCAAAAAATGCTTGTATTTCTCAACACATTCTCGATTTATCAGTTTTAGAGGGGCAAGGACAATTTGCCCCCCCCCCCCCCCCACTCATTAAATTTACACCAATTTGTCTTCGCGCCTCTTTTTTTTTTTCCTTCCTTTTTTTTTTTTTTTTTTTTTTTGCTTTTCCAGGGGGGGGGGGGGGCAAGTGCCCCCCTTGCCCCCCCTCGCGACGCCCATGGTCGGTAGGTCAGTATACATTATAAGCTGGTCTTTCAGGGGCAGCAATTAATGCAGGTCATGACTTAACCTTGGATCTCTTCTTTCCTTGTGAAGTGCTGCTGTGTGAAGTGCTACTGCCGCAAGACTGATCACAGGACTGTGCATCATGGAGTTGGAACACCGGTAAGTTCCCGGGGCGTGGTACACATACATTAAACCGTCTTATGCTAATGAGGCCTTAAAAAAAAAAAGTGTTATGTTAGCGTAACCCGACCGACCCTAAAAATGCGGCCGACCCTGGATATTTTCTTTTTTTGGAAGGGAAGAAATATAATTAAAATCTATCGAAATGAATTTTAAATACGTTTTGAAACCATTTCTGACCGTTTCTCCTCAATTGTATGACGATAGCGCGCGTGGAACTTTGGAGTGCACAATGTTTTGCACCTTCCTCTCCATGACACAACGAACATGCAGAAGATCGCGCAGGCCTACGCGCAGGCAGTGCGCGTGCGGAGATCCATGCACCATGCATGCATGTACAGTACATGTATAGCCTCGTCCTAGACTGCTACATACACTATTGAAAATACTTCGCTATTTATTCCATGTTAAAGAAAATAGTTCATTATAATATAAATTATTTTAATTAATTTTCCACTATTTTACACGATAACAATTGATATATATTTATTCTAAAAATGGTAAACTATTCTGTAACCCCGGCGGCCGACGCGACCCGGCCGGCCCTCGGCGCGGCCCGGTGTTACGCGCGTACGCCGTCGCATCATGGCGCCCGGCCCAATACCGAAGCGTACAGGTTTCCATCAAGGGCAAATGGGGATCTTCGGTCATTTTCGACCGTTTAATTCGGATAAATTTGAGTCTAGAACTGGGGGTATAGGTAATCGCCCAGAGCTGTGCCGATGGTGTAAAAGCGGCTTACACCGTGCTAAAAATACAAACTTCAAAGGAAGAATCGGGTCCATATAAAGATGTCGATGCAGATGAAACGGCTAACATTTTGTCTGATTTTGGATTCCGCTCTTTGATATGTACCTTTAAAAAGGTTGATGATGAGCCTTGTTTTCTTTTGTTATCGTGTACTACTACCGGCTTAATGTCATTTTCGTTGCTGGGATTATTAAAAAAAAAAAAAAAACCACCGACCTACCTACCCTATTTTTTCTGGCCCGTTACGCCAACATAACTTTTTTTTTTTTAGGCCTGAGTCTGCTACATGTATAACCAATAGAACCAAAAAAAGCCTACGAAAAGTAATGCATCAGGTTTATGCAAAAGTTTATGTCAAGAATTTGATACAAAAAAGTGCAAATATCCATTTTTAGTGATTTTTTTCAAAATTATTTTAAATGGTCCCTTGTTGTTCCTGATAATAGAGGGTGTTGTTGCTGTGATGGCAATTTAGACGCACACTTAATTGTTTACGGATATTCTTTACAAATTTGTAGACCCAAAATATAGATTTTGTAAGCAATTGTGCTTAGTTACTTGTTTACCCCTAAAAACTTTGCCAAAATTATATATCTCGATTTTACTCATGAATACGGAAATTTGAAGAAGAAATAAATCCCAAAATAGCACCGAATATTAGAAAAATAAAGTAAATGCAACAAGCGTAGCTGCAAGGATGGAATTAAAAAGGTAACAATCTCATGACAGACGTCAATGATGTTAGAAGTACAACTAATGCCATTTTTCGACGTTGCAATACTGATTTTTTTTTGACAGCGTGCAATGTTGTGGTTTTTCATCCATATTTCAAAACTGACCCTTGGTGTTTAAACTAGTTTCCTTTAGCCGTGATTAGGAACGGCATTTACTTTTCAACTTTTCTTTTTATCCTCAAGAACCGCCCAAGTATACTAATTTACCCTGTGTGTTGTGGCGCTTTAGAAAGAGAAAGTGGGTACCTTGGTATTAAACATGTAGCGCACTCCTCCCCTACGAACATATGCAACCTTTTCCTTTAAAATATTAACTAACTTGCAACACATATGTGGCTTTCGACTGTGACGTTTTACACTTCGAAATCATCAGTGGGCTTTCGAAATTTACAATTTATGTTTTGTGTCCTTAATCTGGCGAATCGTGTCCTTGTTTTTTTTTTTTGGTGTTCAACACAGGTTCGACCGCCTGCTTACTACGAGGCATGCCCACCGAATGCTGACGAAAGGGCACCGCTGACCAATTATCAAGTGGCGTAGACATTGTCTAGATATCTCGATTGTTTATGTAGCTCAATTCTTATGGATATATCTCCCTACTTTTTGTACAAGCGGGAATGGACCATCGGATCATCCCCCAGATTTTTGTTGTGAGAAACAATTAGTTTAAGGTTATCTTTTAACTTTGCGATAGTCCAAATGTGTTACATATTTAAGAAAATCGGAGAACAAACAGTACAAACGCTTTACATGCACCATTGAGCGGTAAGGTTAAGGCACGTAACCATATTTTACTTGTTTGGTAAAGTGCTTTAGAGCATAGGTTTTTTTTCTAAGCGATGTTTTTAAAAGTTTGAAGTAAACAAAATCAGTTATTCTGGATCTCCAAAGATTTCCCCACCGTTTCATATTCGAACCCAATTCCAAGCACCAAAGAGCAAACTCTGCGTTGTCAATGCAAATTTGTATTCAGCACATTTCACAAACACACTCCCGATACACGCCTTTTGTGACTTATATTTAAAAAAAAAAAAAAAGTAAAAGTATATGGCATTATATAACCGACATACAGATCCTTGTCATTCGATTGGTGGAACTCACATTACGTGACATTCGTTATTGCTCCCATTCACGAATGGAAATACTATTGAACAGTTAGGATCATGACGCGGTATTTGTGTGCAAATGCATGCTGGTGTGCGCGTTCAGCTTTGCCCGTAGCGCGTATTGTTCCAAAGAGCCAGCGCTACAACGTTGGGTTCAAACAGTTTCGTGAAGGAGTGGATTTGAAGAGAGAACTATACATTTTCCTCCAGTTTTGTATTGAAATAAAAGTAAAAATATATCAAATGACAAGGATATATATGTCAGTTATATAAAACAAATATTGAGTGGCTTTAAATTGTGAAATGGGAGGAATATTATCGAGAACAAGGGCTTTGACAAAAAAAGAAATACGCATTGCACCGCCAACGGCAGTGAAAAACGTTCTTCAGTTTGATTATGATTTTGACACGGTTTTTTTTTTTTTTAGTGTAGGCCTATGCAACTTCGTGCGTTGATTACTCAAAAGATGGTTTGTTGGGGGACATTCGTCATTTTGCCACTGTAGGTCACATTTTATGACTTGAAGTTTTGCATGGCGGATAAGATAAAATAGAAAAATTGCCGATAACACCATGAAATCTCTTCTTGGAGAAGTGTGATTCTGAAAAGAACCGGTTGGTTCAGTGTAGAACTCGACGTTGCGGGCAGTGGTGCTCTGTCCGTCCAAAGGCGGTTGAGTGTAAGATATTATTTGTTAACCATGATCATTATGAAGAAAATTGCACATTATGAAAAAAATGGGATAATTACTTTTTGTATTGAAATAAAAGTTCAAATATATCAAATGACAAGGATATACATGTCAGTTATATAAAACAAATATTGAGTGGCGGATTTGAAGAGAGAAATACATTTTCCTCCAGTTTTGTATTGAAATAAAAGTTCAATTATATCACTAAAATGACAAGGATATATATGTCAGTTATATAAAACAAATATTGAGTGGCTTGAAACTGTAAAATGGGAGGAATATTATCGAGAACAAGGGCTTTGACAAAAAGAAATACGCATTGCGCCGCCAACGGCAGTGGAAAACGTTCTTTAGTTTGATTATGATTTTGACACGATTTTTTTTTTTTTTAGTGTAGGCCTATGCAACTTCGTGCGTTGATTACTCAAAAGATAGTTTTTGGGGACATTCGTCATTTTGCTACAGTAGGTCACATTTTATGACTTGAAGTTTTGCATGGCGGATAAGATAAAATAGAAAAATTGCCGATAACACCATGAAATCTCTTCTTGGAGAAGTGTGATTCTGAAAAGAACCGGTTGGTTCAGTGTAGAACTCGACGTTGCAGACAGCGTGCTCTGTCCGTCCAAAGGCGGTTGAGTGTAAGACATTATTTGTTAATCATGATCCTTATTAAGAAAATTGCACATTATGAAAAAAATGAGATAATTGCTCATAAGTATATCAATGTAACGTCTAATTTAATTATAATGTGAATACGCACAACGCTCTCTATGGACAGATGTTGTCCAGCCCTCAACCGTCCCCCACCTCCCCCCCCCCCTTGATGCTGCCAAGGAATTGCCAGCTATTATGGTTGATTGGTCGATAGCTGCCAAGTGACCCCCCTATATACATTAAGAGGCGTCCTCTTCACGAGAAATGTCTTCAGAAGATTCCCACATGGACAGGTGTAACGTTTCAGCTCTTCTTTTCCTCAACACATTAATTCATCACTGCTGATAGAAGCTTACTGAGAACAGTAATACGCGCCGTTTGAAGTAACAAACTAGACTAGAGCTTGAAACTAGAACTAAAAAACAACACAACGTCTATCTGGAAAGTAACCGTATCACATATACTATTACAGATGCAGTGATACTGATCATTATAACGTTCCCTATATTTAAAAAAAAAACCAATAACTAAATGCTTCTGTATTGATATTGAAGAATTGAATTTGCATTAAAACGCACTAAAGTGGTGCACAGCGTTTCTCTGTAAAAGAAAAGGCTGTTTTATAGGAAACTTGTGCTAAACCAAACTTTTACACCGATTATTTATACGAGATGAGATTTGAAGGTTTAATTATAAGCGCAGGCTATGCCAACGATCGGTGTGAAAATATCGTAACTTGATAAAACTTCAAAACCGGTTAAGATATTTTGATGAAAGAACAATCTGAAAGTGTTACATAATGGTGAACAGAACAAGAAATGAGGGAAAATGAAAACTTTGGTTTGCGTTAGAGGAAAGCGATTCACACTACAAGCCACAACTAAGAGAACAGGCTTAAGTGAACAGGCCAACACGTGTCGAATACTTCGGAGGCAACGCGGGGATGTACATCTTGGTTTAATCAGAATGCAGACTGGATTAGTTTAGATGATCCTCTTAAATCATTACTATACTACCTGTCTTTGTGACAAAAATTGACAGCTGAGTTCCTCGACTCATAATCATCTATTAAGGTGTTTTGTGAGCTAATAATTAGGCCTTGTCCCATGCTTGTCTGTCTCACGTTGTATTTTCTTTGTCCTTGGTCCATATTACGCTACCTTAATTGGTTGTATGTTTGTCTGTCCATATGTTGGGGCACACAAGCGCTTCGCTTGACCTTACAACTAAAATGTTGTCATTTAATTTGCTACTTTATTATCACTGTGTACATATCAAATATCATATTATTGTAACCTTATGTACTTTCTACATGTTAGTAAATATTGAAATAAATATTACAGAAAACAGAATACAGAATTTAAAAAATGATACAAATACATTCTAAAACATTTACAAATTTGCTAAAATGTTGTGATTCCATATATTCAAATTGTTGATAAAAACGAATTAACATTTGTTAAAATTAGTTTTTACAAAGTAAAAAGGTGAATTACGGTATGCAGTTTGTCCGAGATGGGTCCATTTTGGTTGTTGTGGTTGATTGACATCCCACTCTTTACGTTAAGTCATGTAGGCCATCACCCTGTGTTTGACATGATTACGGAAACCAATATATAAAGACACATGTCAGTATCATTTGGAAACTTTAAAACGCCTTTAAAGGGCTAATGAAGTGAAGATTTCTTACGAAAATATGTTGTGCTACTTTCTAATCATATTAAGTGTATGAAAACTAATGGATATTTCTTTTGGTGAATTTTGTTGAAAATTGCAAAATAAAAATTGAAAATAAGGTTAAAGGGACACAAAGGTGCATTTTCAAGGATTGCATTAATACAAATCACATTTCATGAGCCCTGCGTCACAATACCGTTTATTCGTAGAGCATGGATTTGTCAAAAGTCCACACCACGTTGACGGTAGTCTGTGTCTATGTGCGCCCTCACACACTGCAAAAACTGTGTTTAGCAATTAAGCACTTTTCTAGAAACTATCTTGCTGTAGTTTTCATTTATTGTTTACATACTAAACATATTATTTTAGAGTAAGGATGGATATAGTAATTGAACATTGATGTTTAGGAATTGAAACATAATGTTTAGCTTCCACAATGTTAACAAAGTGACAGCAAGATTGTGTTTAACATGCTAAACACAGTTTTTGGAGTGCACGAGGTGAGACTGGTTGAGACAATATGAGAGTAAACATGTGGGTCGAAACCAGTGATAAGAAGGCGCGCTACTATGGAAATAGGCAGGGGCGCACATTTCTTTTCTGTAGGCGGCATGCTCCAAAGTCGAGACTAATTCAATAGTTTGATCGGGCCAGTATGTTTATTCATGAAACAGAACAACGATATCAAGAGCGTTGTTGTTATTTAGTCAACCAGTTACATTTAAAGCATTTTAAAGTGCGGACATCGTCGAGCTACCACACAGTGATGAGCTCTGGATTCAAATATCCCGTGTTCGAATCCACGTCGTCGCTGCTCATTTTTCATCAACTCTGAAATGTATCCTTGAGATAATTTTGTTTTAAGGGAAAAAAGAGAACCAAAGAGTCTTGCAACGATTCAAAGGAAACTGAATTATGCATGACTTTGAAGCATCCCGCCTACAAAAAAGAAATTCGCGAGCCGTATATAGAGAGATTTGCGACGTGCGACTATTGTGTACGAATTATATACATTGTATGTGCACTGCACTGATGCATAATCCGCCATTTTGGTTGCAAACAGTGCCTTAATATGTCGCAACTCTCACTAAATGGCTTTGGAAATAAGCCACACTGTGGCAGTCCAATACCAACGTAATGAAGCAAGACAACGAAAATGTCCATACATTTCCCTAAATTCATTTTTCACTCTGAATTACAAGGCGTCCAGACATCAGATAGGCTATGCGTGTGCGAGTTCCATAAATTATTGTTACAATATCACAAATCAGTTTTTTTCACAGAACACATACACAATTCCAGCCCCCCCCCCCCCCCTCCGGCAAAAAAATCTGGATCCGCCCCTGAAATGACTCAAGAAATACGAATTAAAGTCATTAAAATTTGGGGAATTTTTGAAAATGGTTCATCATATAAATCTTCTTTCCACTGAAAGCCACAAAGATTGGTTATAAGTTTTAGAAAAATGCGACAATATTTCGATTTAGTGGCCGCTGCACCACTAATCAAGCAATATTCTGAATTCTTAGCAACCTCTCTTCAGATTAGTTATAATCAATCGCTTTTAGACAATAGGAAAAACACGGAAAGAATACATTTCAACTCACCATGTTGAGGCTAATCTAACTCTGTCGCACAAAAACCACGGCTTGAGAGCCAGAAATGATAGAAGCGGACAACTCCGTGCAGCCAATTGCTATCAGGAAGCCATTGATCACTAGGTCACCAGTCTAAAATATTTGGAACAGACAATTAACAAATACAAGGGTTTAATGACCAATACAAAGATATTTTGAAATGTAATTTTTGAAGAAAAAAAAATGATGACGTGGATAAGCATATTTAAATAATAATTTGATATTCACGCGCCCTCTTTGGTTGGCGCACGGAGCCATAGCGTCAGCATGAAACGTTTGCCACACTGTTCCATATTAATTGGACGTAGTTTTCTTGACTGGGAGTCAAATATTAAACTGGGTGCACAAACTTGTTCATTAATGCTGATCATGTGGCCAAAATGTCTGCACAACACATATGTAGAGAAACGGCACATACATTGTAGATCATGCCTCAAGAATTCAATTCAATTCAACATTATTTTCACATTGACATCCTCAGTGACAATCCATACAGAAGAAAATATGTATATATACACAAAGCATTCTTCGCAGACAGTAAGTGTAAATATTCTATGACGTCAACATAAAGGAAAAAACTGAAGCACTGCTATACCTTTGCCTGGGACAGGACAGAACTTAAACAACTACACACGGACGAAGACAGGACAATAGTTTTAAGAGTGAAACCCGGCAGTATTATGTATAATAATGACCAAGCAAATCAAACAAGAAAATAATTTAAGCATTAGTGTTGATGACCAAGAAGTCAACCAACAGCTCATACTTCATTTGTACACAATTAATTGGCGATGAAGAATTTGTAACGTTACATTCATCCTTTGTCAAATCCACGTAACGAGTACCAAAAAGACATGCAGAAAATGGGATAATTCATTTATGACAAAAAGGGGTCACAAAAACATGGTTATTGTCATTCTTGCAGTTTTACGCTTTGCAAACTCGTTGTATTTAGATACAGGCAAAGCATCTGGCCGGGCTTTTCTCAACAGACAACAGACTCTTCTGTCATTTAACTGTATATGGCTGAGGGACACGTGACGGGTAACGAAAGGTGTATGTAGAAGGCAAATAATTTTCCGAATTTAATTCCTGGCGAGCCGAGGTAGTTTCAAAAAGGCAAGGGGAGCGGAGGGCAGCACATTATTCGAAACTGTTCATTGAATACACAATAATGTGCGATAACCGTGTACTGAACAACCGTGGTTCAACATAAAAACAATCTCTTTTGTTTGAAAAGTTGAGATTCATATAAGATCGATCTATAGCCACCTGCACATTCTAAACTGTCAAGCCCGGAATTAGGTTTAAGACTGCACCTTACAGCGAATAATACATTTAATATATAATAATAATAATAATAAGAGTAATAATAACAGTTTCTTATATAGGCCCCTAGTGCGAGTCCAAAAAAAACCTATTCACTTTTAAAATTGGCCATAGTTTTATTCTGTAGCAATATAGATAAGATATTTTCATATTTACTTTTAGAGTAACTCTCCCTGCTTTTTACAGGGACATATTTACTGGATTAGTTTTCATGCTTGACTGCACAGGAGACAATTAAGGGGTTGGGTGAAATCTGACTTGCGCGAACTGGTCAGGGCTGGATAAGAAAGCGACAATTTAAAAGAACACAACTATTGTCTAACAATGACACAGAACAGGATTTCATTAACTTTTAAACTTCGCCGGTTTTTTTTTAACATTTAAACTAAATTAAATAGGCACTTATATTCCACGGTGTCTTAGTCCTCAACATGGCCATCATCTCGTTCAATGCACAGCTGGGTTCGGCGCATCTCCCTGCAACAGCACGGCGAGTCACCTCCAGTTCTTGTCTGAGAATATCAATTTCACGAGTTATCCTTTCCTGGAGGTCATCCAGATTTGCCGACGAAACTCTTGCAAGCAAGATCCACAAACCTGAACAGTTTATGCATTCCATGACCAGAACCAAGACAATGATTGTATTATAAGATGGAATTTTGCGTCGGGGTGATATAAATCAAATTAGGTTTTGCCCTTCACCGACGTTTTTTAACACTGGTTGTATTCTTTTATATTGTCTCATTCATATCAAGCCCTGACCTGTTGGCGCAAGTCAGATTTCACCCGACCCCTTAATTGTCTCATGTACAGTCATTCATGAAAACGTATCCAGTGGAAATGTCACCAAAAGAAGCACGGAGAGTTACTATAAAAGTACTCCTAATCTATATAATAAAACTATGGCCTGTTTTAAAAGTGTACAGTTTTTTTTTACTCACATAGCGCTTTTAATTTAGATCAAAACGTTTTACGACTAAAACTTACTTCGGGTGATGGTCTCTGGTTATCTTTAGCTGAGGCAAGACTGGTTGATACAATGACGCCTATTGCTGTCATGCAGGCAGTGATGCACATCAATGCGGCTATCTTTGCCTGTCGGTTCAGAAATGTGTCGGATTTTATTTATGGTACTTTAAACCGGTATTCCCCATGAAACCTCCCGGCATTGTTATTTTTACTTTTTCATAATAAAAAAGTAAAAAACGGACATGTGATTTCCAATTTGTATGATGTTTTTGGTAAATAGTTAATTGTACTTCTTAAAACCGTAACTTCCTACATCATTTACAAGGAACCATACCCATCATGGCAAATTCCAAAACCATATGGGAAACTGCACACACACATTTCTGACTAATTCTGGAGGTGTACCAACCCAATGTTAAAGACTGTCAGTTACTAGTGTACCCATCCTGACAGACTAAAAAAACCATACCGTTGGGGTTTGATGGGATGGGTTGAGTTCTGTTATAGGATACTGTGATTAGAATCTGTCAGTTATGTTATGGGTAATACGCGAGGAACGCGCCGTTCGTTGGTGACCCACGAACGGCGCGCTACCGAGTGTATTAACTTATAACAGCCTCCTCATTATTGCTTGAACAAAAGTTTCGTACATCTTCATTTTTGGTTTTGCTTCAGTGGAAAATCAGTTCTGTTTATTTATGAGAAAAGAACAATGACGCCACATCATTGTTATTATTTAGTGAATATCATTTTAGCATTTAAAAGAACGGCAGTCATCAAGCTGCCACAGTAGCCTTATGGTTAACGAGATGAGCTATGGATTGAAAGGTCCCTGGTTTGAACCCTGCTATGTCCATTTTTCTAGAGACCATTATTTAATTTAATTGAAGGGGGGGGGGGGAAGAGGAACGAAAACATAAATGTGTCTTGCTGTGATTCTGTGAAATTACTGAATTATACATAAGTGGCTGCGCCAATCGTCAGATGCTGAGGCGCGCCGTGCTCCATTCATGCGAAACAATGGCGAGGAAAAAAAACCGATAGTGTGACCTCCCAGGAGGGTGATAACATTTACTAAACGCTACCCAATATATTAGGTAACGTATTAGGCATATTATTAGTGAGGCGCGTATATGGGGAACCGCCGGCTAAAAAAACTGTTGATCAATGTGTGGAGCTCGGAATTTTAAAGGCACAGGTTAGAAAATCAGGACTTTGATACAGCCCCTAAAAATGGACTGCAGTTACTCCGATGAACATTGGAAGCATTCGTATGAATCTCAGGTTAATTGAAAAGAGAGAGAAAAATCATCTGGGATTATCTAATTCTAATTCCTTTATTAAATTCTTGGGCTATTTCCCTGCAACCTCAAGTGTACGTCCCTTTTAGATTCTATAAAACTCGTCACCGTCAAAGTGCCTTAAATTACTATACAGCACTTAGCAAGGAGATAATATACAAAGTGTCAAATTTTCATAATGTAACATATTGTTGTTAAAACTATTTTTAATACCTACCTTGCTCTTACATTCCTTTATGGCCGCAAACACGGTCATCGACCCAGCAGGTATGAAGAACTACACATGACAGAACAAAACATCAAAGTTGAGACATGATCATCATAATTATACACATGAATCACAAATTCCCAGGACAACACATCAGCATCGGGAATCGAATCCGTTTAATGACCTGGCCATGCGTAACAATTGGGTTTTCAATTCCATGGAATTCCCGGAAATACATATCGTGGGTTTCCTAAGCTAAGCCATTAAAAGGGTATTAAATAGAAGCGCAGCTTAAAATCAGATAACATAAAATAGATTTCCGTGGTTGTAGCGACTGATCTACTTAAAGTGATAATCTTGTCGAACGCTATGGTTTCGATAGCGACTAAATTTCTATACAGGTTGGTTCAAAATAAAGAAATCCACTTTTAACAGTAATTTTCACCTGCTTACATAACTTATTTTAACTCTTTCGTCTTAGAGTAGTAAAGTACAGCCCTTTAACCATGCATGGTGGAAAAAAAGCTTGGTAAAAGTTGCAAGAATAGTGATATTATGCTATTTTGAATACAAGTTACCAAAACCAGTCTTGTTCGCGTGTTATTATATGTAACTTTGACGTAATTTTAAGTTCACAAAAAAATTAGAAACCTTGACAACAACATACGTGTATTTTGATCTGGTAACTTTTTATTGAGGCTGTCCGATTATTCCTGTCAGTGTTAAGATCATCTACCAGGGAGCTGTAGGCTTAAGTTCATTGTTGCAGAAGTAACTATCAAATGTCACGGTTGGAAATAGGAATAACAATCCCTGTTTCTGCGAAAGCCTTCAAATTTTTGTTTCGCGACCGAGCTGTTATGACTCTTTAGCCTTGAGCTTTGCGCATCTTTTGATGCCAAAAACATAAAAATCGGACCACGGGTTGCCGCGCAACGAAAATTGTCCCATATATGTCATGAACACAGAGCAGAATTATCATTCGTACATATGAGTAATTAATTAGCCATAATTCCAAACCCTTTGACCTATAGTCATTAAATTTCTTGGGTATGTTTATGATGAGTTGCTATATGCATGTATCGAGTTTCAAAATGTTTCGTCACTCAACGGCCGAGATCGTAGCCCCCCCCCCCCCCCGGCTGAGAGCTTGTCAAATAATTTGGCCCTTTTAAGGTTAAGTCAGTGAGGCCAGTGACTAATCAACATTTCCAAATAGTGTTAAAAATAAGATGGAAGTTGCTGTCAAAGTGGGTTTCCTTTGTTTTTAACATCTCTGTAGATATAATATAAAGTACTAGATAAAGGAATAGTAAAAAATTCCGGTATTGCTAGAGTGTCCGTACCGAAAGGGTATTTGCTCTATATGCCTATAGTCAGCTGATCAACAACACGACCAACATTGAAGAATACTGTACATTTTTTGAGACTTCAATAAGTGTTTCTATATTCCCTGCACACTGAAGATGAGAATACTCACCACAAGGCCACCCCACAGGGGACTAGCGGAGAAATCGACGTCCTCGTAAAGCCAGGACAGTCCCCAGAATATTGGCCCAAGCACCCCGAGGACAATTTGAGTCACGCCTGCTACCATCATGACGCGCTTGGGATCGACTTTACATCCAGCCATGTTTTTGTTTGTCCTCTCTGAAGATGGTACCCGTTCTTTAAAAAACAACAATAATAATTACAGACTGTATATTACAAACTAAGTAAATGCAGATGATTAATCGAGGACAGGAATATATGAAATCTTTACTCCATCAAAACTTCAGTAGTAGGGGAGGTGGGGGAACCGGAGCAAAATGGAAAAAATCTGCGGCAAGCCTGAGCACGCCGCTCTCGATTCTAAAAATAGTTGGGGAAAAATATAGGGGAATCCCCCGATCTCAAAAAAAAATCTGACGCCGGGTGTGGGGGAGAAAAAAAAAAAAAAAAAAAAAAAAACTGACGCCGGGTGTGAGAGAAAAAAAAAAAAAAAAAAAAAAATCTGACGCCGGGAGAGAGAGAGAGAGAGCAAAAAAAAAAAAAAAAAAAAAAATCTGACGTCGGGAGAGAGAGAGAGAGAGAAAAAAAAAAAAAATATCTGACGCTGGGAGAAAACAAAAAAAAAAAAAAAAAAAAAAAAAAAAAATCTGACGCCGAGAGAGAGAGAGAGAAAAAAAAAAAAAATCTGTCATCGCTAAAATGAGGTGATGTCACCACCACGTGACCTTGAAAAATATGTGAGTCACCACCACGTGACCTTGAAACGTGTTGAGGCACGATAGAAATTTGGCGTAAACAACGCGACCTTGAAAAATATGTGAGTCACCACAACGTGACCTTGAAACGTGTGTGAGTCACCACAACGTGACCTTGAAACTCGAGACAAAAAAAATTAGCTCCTTACCCTGTAAAAGGTGAGGAGCTGTTTTTTAATATAAAAATGGAGAGTAATATGTTTAGACCGACGAGTATTTGAAAAATGAATAAAAAATAATATCGGTTTTTATTAAATAGATGGAATACTTTGGGACGTCACAACTTGGGGATAAGTGCGATCATCATATAATCATCGAGAATGGTTTTTTAATTTGTGAAACGTGCGGTGAAATAGTTTCACGTTATTTTGATTTTTCGGCAGAAAATGTGCAAGAAGATCGTATCAATTGGTCAACTTTAAAAAGAAACAAAAGAAAAACTGTGGAGAAACTTATTTTGTCTGTTTGTCCAGAGCAAGACTTAGAAGATGTCCAAGAAACAATCAATAAATATAACGAGCTCGTTAATTACAAAACATTGAGGGGAAACGGATGTGTCAAACGGTCGTTAATAGCGGCGTGTTATCATCACGTCGTTGGATTAGACAAAGAACGAGTTAGAGATTTATTTAAAGTGACTCAAAATCAATTTAATAAAGCACTAAAAATATACGATGACCACTACAATAAAGGCGGGGCCGAGGGCGTAGCCCTAAGAGGTGAAATAGAGGTATAACTCGGTGGTTCGCTTTCATAATGTTTATTTACCGAGAATTTGAACTTGTAAGTTTTTCGATAAGAGATTTTTTTTCTTTTGCCAGCCGTTCGTCTACCCGTTTTTTAACTTCTTTTTCAAAGTCTGTATCGTTTTTAATCTTTTGAAGCTTTGTGCTGGTCTTTGTTCTAATTTTCTGCTTAAGCTCGTTAAATTTGGCGAGCTCTCTCGTAATCAATAAGAACTCTTCGTGCGATATATCTCCGTCGTTGATGGCTTGAGACACGTATTCTTCAATCGTGTTAAGTTTGGAGTCTGCTAATATCTTAATCTGGTCGTGCTTTTTTAGCTTGGCGGATAATCGCCTAGACGCGATTCTAAGCAGAATATCTACACCAAAAGCGCCTATAAACGTTCCTTCTAGCACCAATCCAACGGGGGTTGATATAACACCCAAGAGAGCGGGAATACCGACAGCCCCCGCTATAGCCCCCAATCCTTCTAATCCTATCTCTACGTAATTAATAGTGTCGATCACTCTCTTTATTTTTTTATAAGTGTGCTCTCGGTGGTCTCTCTCTTTTAAGATTAAAGATCGAATCTCTTCAATCTTTTTTAGTCTGTATACTTTTGTTTCTTCGTTACTATTTAATCGGAGTACATCTCCAGAAATATCGGGGTATAACGCCTTACCATCTACACTCATGTTTTTAATATAAAAAGATTTTAAAATTAAAAGATCTCCAACTCGATAATGATACCCTCACCCTTGTTGTTGAATACCTGTCCTTTTTCACCGCTGATAGAAAATGTCAGTTTGTCGATTATACCGTTTTTAAGATTTTTGAATCCCTCGGCTCTATCAATATCGGGTTTGCGCGTAGCCACGGGTACGATTTTTAAGATGTCAGAAAGACGACCATTAAAAAAGTTTTCACTCGTACTTAATTGCGGGCAGTGAATAAACAAAAATTTAAACGGATTAACGTCGTAAGACCCCGTATACACCACTTTGGGTACCAGTCTTCCTTTGGGTAAATTGAGTAATCGAGATACTTCTCTGTTCAAGCGCAATTTGAGATTGACGTCGGTTATCACCAACGTCACCTTTTTAGATTCTCTAAATATTCGAAAACTTACCCCGGGTATAGAATTTAAAATGAAATCGAACCAATCGACGTCGTACCACCCCGGTGCTATGATGACCGAACCGGTGACTCCGAGTGGCAACGGCTCTAAATGACTCGGAGGAATAAAATCTAAATCCTCACCCGTCACGATAAGACTTCCCCTTATAATTACCCCTGCTTCCCTACTATCTCTCAACTCGCTCAACTCGCTCGCACCCATTTCTCCTTCAATAAACTTTGAAGCCAATTCCTCACCTTCAAAGATTTTTCTTTCTCTAACATATAATAATCTTACTAAAGATTGAAGCGTATTAAGTTCTAATTCAGTTTTTGGTATTTCTGAAGACATGGCGGCTAAAATCAACCCTCGCCGTTCAGCTATAATAGCTCTTTTTCTTTTGTTTGATTCTAAAACGGATTCTAGTCTATCGTCTTCGTACGCTTTTATAAGATCGTTTATAGTTTTTTGTAAAACATTTTCATCGTTAATTAAAAAGTGGTATGGTATATCGGGTAACAATCGCTCTATAAAATCTCTATCCGGCGTTCTTATGTGTACATCTGAAAGAAACTCCGCGGGTATGGGGGGAGGTTTATCTGTGGTAAATGCGGGTCTCCCATCTATTTGCGTAAACCAATCAATCTCCGTGGCGCTGGAAATATTAAAATATCCGGCGTTAAACAACACCCTTTTTACGCGTATAGATTTTTGACCGTTTAAATTATCTACGACGTCTTCTAATTTAAACGTCTGCTCATTTTGAAACAAGTGAAACGAATGCATTTATTTTAAAGTCTTTTTATATTAAAACTGAAACTAAAATAATGAGTGATTTTAAGTCGTTAAAAAAGCAGATACAATCGATAGCCGATCAGGTAACGAGACAAGTAAATCAAAATGTAGCTAAACGACAAGCTACCACCCCAGCGCATGTACTAGACAGTCCGTATCTCACTGGCGAACTCGAGATTACGGTCAACGCGTCTAACACGTTTTTAACCCCGTTTCCCGACTTAATCTCGGACTATAAAATATCTCGCCTCAATACCAACGATGCTGTACTTCGTTGGAAAATAGACCCCATGTCTTTTTATCAAAATCAGTTAAACTTTGCGATCTATTGCGCTACAACGGGCTGTGGTGTTGGAATCGATATTTTAAACTCGAACAACCGTTACGTTAAAGCCTTATTTAATTTTCATCTATACTTTACGGTGAGAAGGATATTAAACGACATGGCCGTAGCAATACCGGGAGAAGACTCGTTTGACGCTCTCAGCAACACCTATGATCGTGGAGCATTTACCAACATCTGTCGGACGTTTGCCATCGATCAAAATAAGTCTTTTAAACAGACGAGAGATCAAAAGACTTATGGCTTAGGTCGGCTTTTTCTTTGGAACGAAAAAACAAAATCGTTTTTACTCTTGCCGTTAGACTATGATAAAAACACGACCACACTCGACGATTTTATCAACCCCACGGGTGATAAAAATTGGGGTTTAGACGATCCAAAAAAACACGATGCTTTTTTTAAGCATTGGAAGGGTTATCTCGAACAAGACGACATCGTCAAAATGGCTTGGTTAGATTTTATACCCACCAAGAGTTCGTTTACCCCCGCGGGAATCATAAAGATCAACGAATCGATCAGATCTTACGTGTATGCTTTACTCGGTGCGCAGGCTCAAACAAAAACGAGCGTATTATCACCGGGCACCGGATTAGACGCTCAGAGACAATTTAACGTCATCGTTGAAGATATCATCAATGCAGTAGACGACATGGAAACGAGTATCGATCAATTTCAAGACTCTTTGCAGTATGCCAGAACGCCTTTAAATTTTGTCGTGAAACCGGGGTTATATTTAATTCCATCGGATATGAACTTGAGGATTGGAACGCACGACGGCTATAACAACAATCTTCAAATCGCTACCCAGAGTATGAAAACTGGTTTGGTGCCAGATTTAAACTCACAACCTCAGCCGGACGACTCTTTTGATGACACCGATGACGTCGCGCCACCAACACCCCTAGAGCCTATGACCGATGTTGTATCACCAGCACCAACACCAACACCAACACCAACACCAACACCAACACCAACACTAACACCAACACCATCACCATCACCAACACCAACACCTACAGTTTTAACCCAAGAACCCACGAAACTACAAACTCACCAAGACGAAAAATTATCGTTGACGGTAGGAATATTAGCTATCGTTGGCATGGGTATTTTAGCTTACGAGGCAACGCGATAAGTCACACTCTAATCTCACAACAACAACAAAAAATAAGCCTTACCAACTTTGTGCTGGTAAGGCTTTTTTTTTTTTTTTTTTTTAACTTTGATTACAACTACCATCGTTTTTGTAGGTACGCAAACACCAAGGCCCCCACACCCAAAAACAAAGCCCACACGTGTTCGGCCAACCACGATACAGACTTACTCAGTGCGTTAAATATCCAACTTAGTACGCTGCCTATGATACCCGGCAGAGCACCCAACGCGCTCACTCCGAGTTTTTGAAGAGCAGATGCAAAATTAGCGAGTTGTTTTGAAATCC